TTGCTGTATCCTTGAAACTCAGTCCAGTCCAAGGTCCATGCAAACATTTTTCGATAGACTTTTGATGTTTTTCCACAGTAAAGCATGAGGCAAATTTACTCATCGCTGAGTTCCTGAACTTATGAGTAAACTGAACTCAAAATTGGGTTGATCGAATTGGCTATGTAGTTTCGTCACGTGAGAGTGAGAACACTGGGAATTTCTGTTATTATCGAACAGGTTTGGGCCGAAGGGTCTCAGTATTTTATGAAATTTTGCCCATAGGTAATTGGCACAGGAAGATTTATGTATCACATGAACGAAAACAAAATTCAAAACATTCGCGGTGGTTAATTTTTCCGGAAAATTTTAGTTGAAGTTTTCGGATTTCCCGGGCAAAACAGGTACAAAAATAACGTTATTAAAAAAAAGCATTGCTCAGAGAATCTATTTCCACTAGTTTCAACATGTTCAGTGGAAGTTATTTCGATTTAGAGAGCAAAGAGTTGAAAAAAGCATGCTAAAGCATTTTCGGAAAAAAAAAATCAAATATTCCCGGGAAAATAACTCTGAAGAACTATCAATAAATTAAAAGAAATTTCGAAAGGATGATGATGGAAACTTTTTGGGTTGGAGACGAACCAGCCCAGGGCTGAAAGTCTCCTTAATAAAGATATAAAAAAAAAACTTTTTGGAGAGGTTGGAAAGAGCTTCCAGATCACTCAGAAAAAAACTTCCGAAGAAAGTTAGAAGAAACTTCTAGATAAAGCTGACCCCGACATCCAAGACGGAAGAGAGAAAGTTCCAGAAGAAGTTAACAGACATTTCCGGGGCATGTCAGCAGGACCTCTGGGGAACTTGGAAAGAAGCGTTCAAGATAAATCGTTTGAATTGGCCATCGAACTTCAAGATCAAGTCAAGAAAAACTCAGAATCAACTCCCAGAAGAAGTTGCAGGACTCGCACTTGCAGGTGGAAGTCGTAAAAAAACATCATAATAAAACTGCAACAATCTTAGGCCGTTCGCAATGCTGTTGTTATTTATATGGTCTGTTTCAATTTTAAACTAGAACAGAAACGCACCCCTTACACTGCTGAGATGCAGTTTCATTATTCGAGCTCTATGTTACACCAGATTTGCAACTGCTCGACTATTCGGTTTGAAACACGAATGGAAGTCTATTTCAAAATGTTTTTGGATAAATTTATTAATGTTTCTCGTAATTTTTCAGAGAACTTCATAATAGTTGAGGGAATTTAAAAGAAATTTGGGAAATTTACAGGAGTTTTGGGAACATCTGACATGTTTGAATATATTGAGGAGAATTTCATTTAAATAACGAAGAGCTTCACAAAAATCGGAGGGCTTCATAGAGGACAGTAAACTGTGTGGAATTTGTACTTGATCATTGAAGTTCAGTTGTTTCCAAGAAGTGAAAGGTATTTCATAAAAGATAGGGGAACACCGTAGTAGTTCTGGAAATTTCATAGTATATTATTGAACAGGCATGGAAAATCATTTGCATTCATTTCGTGCATTTATTTACATTCATTTGCCTCTAGCTTTTTTCTTGAACAGCATTCCGCGAAATGATGTATAAAGCTTTTGTAGGTTTTGTTATTAGCAACAACTTTTGTTAACAAGCCAAATTCGTATCTCTTATGCATGACGAACCAGAGCGAACAGAAGCCACTACATAAGTTCTGCCCGCTCTAGTTCGTGTTGCATAAGAGATACAGATTTGAGTTATGAACAAAAGTTGTAGCTAATAACAAAACCTACAAAAGCTCTGTATATCATTTTGCGGAATGCTGTAGATGAAAAAAGTTAGAGGCAAATGATTTTCCATGCCTGTTATTGAACTTCATGGAAATCCATGGATCTTCACAGAATTTCATGAAAGCGATTGCGTCTTTTACATTTAGAAGATATTCTCTAATATGATACCAGGCTGCTCAGAAATAATTCCAATAATCTTCAAGTGTTCTAAGATCTCCATTAAGTCCTTTATATATTTTTTTTCAAGACTTCAGGTTGATCAGGTATCATTCTGAAAATATCCAACTATCGAACAATCTAAATCACATCTCTCAGATATTCTCTCATATGATATCAGGCAGCTCAGAAAGTATTCCATGTGTTTTAGGATACTTTTTCAATACATCAAATTGATCAGAATAGTACTGATGAAGATTTCAAACTATTCAACAATTCAAATCACATCTCCCAGATATTCTCTCATAATACCAGGCAACTCAGAAAATATTCCAAAGAGCTTCAGGTGATCAGAGATCTCCAACAACTTTTCAGGATGATCTCATATCTTCAGGTTCATTTAGTATAATTCTGAAGATCTTCAACTACACAACAATTCAAATCACGTCTGCCAGATATTCACCCACGATACCAGGTTGCTCCAAAATTGTTTCAAAGACCATGAGGTGATCAGCGATCTTCATAATTAATCATACCTCTTTTACATGTTTCGTCAGCAAAGTCGTCCGGGACCTCTTCTTGTAGTTCAAACTTGTTACCACATATGTGTTGTTGAATAGCAAATAGCGTTTAAGACTGCGCGTTGCGCTGATCGTGTTGCAGTTTCATTTTCGATAGTTTCAAATTTCAGAACTGTCGAGAACTTTGAAACAATTGTGAAACTCAGCATTGCGAACGGCCTTATGCGGAAAGATGGAAGAAAGTTAAGGGAAACATTCCAAGAAAACTAAAATAAATTTCCAGGAGTGGCCTTAAGATTCTTTTAGAGCAATATATAAAATAAACTATCAGGATAAATTGGAAGAATCTTCCGGAGAAAGTAAAAAAAATAAAATCCGAGGGATGTCTGAAGAATCTTCTAAAGAAAATCAGGAGAAACTTCCGGAGGTCTCATCGGGGAAATTTGAAAAAAAAAGTATTCTGGCGTAGTCGGATGACACTTCCTAGAGTAGTTGGATTTAACGTCTGGAACATGTTGACACCCAGAGAACTCGAAAGAAACTTTTAGGAGGAATTCAATAGGTCCAATAGTTTAGGGAATTTAGTTGTGCAAAAGTTCATAATTGATTTTCCTTCGGCAAAAATCATCCCATGCGGTGCTTGTTATAATTAATTGAAAACTAAACATTTGAATTCCAAAATCTTCCCGATTTAAAAGAACATACATACTTCTACATAAAATATTCATCGTGGTTTTGAACATAACAACATGAAATTTCGTCCACAGGTAAAGGGTGTGAAAAATTCAAAACAATTGGGATGGCCCATTTTGGGGGAGACTTTAGTTGAAGTTTTTGGATTTCTCGGACATCATGTACTTTGAAAATTCATAACTCATAAAACATGTATAGTAAAATGGTAAAGAAATTATCTCAGCAATTTATATAAAATAAAATCTGAAAAACCTTTCCCATGTATTTATTTACGATGTAGGAAAACCACAAAGAGCAGCGCCGGTGGTATAGTGGTAAGCGTGATTACCTCTCACTCCAGCAGGCCTGGGTTCAATCCCATTCGGCGTCGCCGGGATGTTCTGAGGCATAACATCTCTGATCACGCCTTCCTTCGGAAGGGAAGTAAAGCCGTTGGTCCCCGGTTCATGCGTTGATGGGTCAATAGGTAGGGGAGAGCTGCCTTCCTGGCGTCGGTAGCATTGGTGCTCAGCACGGAAAACAAGATCGACGGAAAACAAATCAAGGAAAAAAAAGAAGGAAAACCACAAAGAAAAGCAGGACGAACAATGGTCAACCGATGCGGCTAATTTTGTAATTTTGAAATGTTTCAAAACTAGCAATCAGAGACCGCCACATTTTGCGGGACTTCAAATCCCTGTTCTAGTGATAATTGCCGATCAATTACAAACCGAATGTGTGTCAAATTTTGGATAATATCTCTACCGACAACTATGTAGACCATTATTTGACTTAATAAAAAATATAGGTAGTCAAAACTTCGTAATAACTGGTCACTGGGTACCGCGTCAGGATTTAGCCTCTAAAAACCATTTTTTTTTTTCAGTTTCAACATATTTTTAATTTTTTAATATTACAATATGTTAAAAAATTTCAAAGCGATACATATGTAAATGGTTTAACATCAATCTGAACCCCAAAATTGGTACCCAGGTATCCTGTCACGCACATGATACACACCGTGTCCGAAGTGACGGATTAATCAACTTTCAGGTACATCCGATTTTTTTTTCACAAATGTTAAATTGGGTACTAACATTTCTAAATCGATAGGTTTAAAAATATTCTGTCATAACCTATTATTTGTATAGACATTTATGATAAAATTGAATAATTCAAATGTCTCGCGACAGGAATGTGAGGACCCAAACTAACTTTTGGCGAAGTAAAAACCCAATGTACATGAAAGTTGATTATTCCGCCATTTCGGAAACAGCGTGTGATACCACGTTTCACATAGGAACGTTTGAACGAACGAATGCCAAATATTCATATGGCAAACGTCCCATCTCCCAGCCCCACGGACACCGGGTTAAGACGTTAAAAATTACATATTTTGGATCCAGTGAGCGGTAATTAGTACGCTGAACTGTATAGTTTTTCCCACAATTAAAGCTCAATCATTAATTCCGCTTGCAACCTCCAGAGGAGCTTTCCTTTGTTACCTCCGAAACCATCAAACCTCGAGGAAGAAGAAAGCGGCATGTCATTCCCCCCGGCCACGTCATTGATAATAAACTTATTTGGATGCCACACACTCACTACTATAGCAACAGGTTTTCCCATTATTAAATCGATAACATCGGAACAACCAACGACGGCAGCGGCAGCTAGCTACTTGGCGCATCAACAATGCTGCCTTGGTATCTATCTGCCTACTATCGCCGCCGGAGAGTGTTTCCTCGAGACGTAGTATTAGCGCAGTCAACGTCGTTACCACCAGCCACCATTGCATGGAGTAGTTGTTACTAGATCTAAGTTCTCTTATGAATATTTAATTTCCTCAAACAACGATTGTCGATTGTTTCCACCGTTTTTTCCTCCCCTGCGAGAGTAAGTTAACGTGAGAAAAAAAAATTGGTGTCTTCATCGCCGCCGAAGCTTCATTTACCGCATAGTTATAATTTACAGAGCAGAGCAAGAGAACAAGAATTGTTCCTCCATTTTCCCACTGCGTAACTGTGAGTGATTCCAAAGTTAATAAAAGCGCAGAAAAATGGATGATTTATTCGGGAAGAAAAAAGAAGTGGTTCCCATACTTGACCTCTCCCGGGCAACGGCCACCACCCGGGAAGAGTTTAAGAAAATGTACGAAAAAGTTCCGGATTACAAGATCCGACCGGTAAAGGTGCGGTCCGACGAAATTCGCTTCAAGGACAAGGATTCGAGCTACAAAATGCCCAAAAAGGAGCTAAAAATGCTGCTGAAAAATGGAGGCGACCGGGACAAGCTGTACATCTACATGGATCCCATACCGTCGGAAATGCGGAACCTGGTCATTATGGAGTTGTGTAGTGTGTCTATCGATTGGAAAATGTTGACACCTCAACGACCGAAAACGAAGATCGAGGAGGAGTATTTCAGCAAGTGAGTGTTTTTATTTTCCTTAGTTTTATTGGTGACATGAGCATGTCGTTTGACAGTGCATTGTTCTAATTTAGAGGTGCACAGTTCATTGAACTTAACATGCAACTGTTATGCAGTTCGCATGCTATATACCTACCATAGATAAGTGCATCACAGCAATAATGCTTTTTGATTTCCATTGCACTACCGTATGAATTATATGCAACCATCAACTTTTCACACAATTATGATAATGCAAACTCTTCTTTCACACACCCATTCCACGCAAAACTCGTGCCTGCCCAGATTGGTTGAATTGGGAAAGCTGCAAATCAAAACCGAGCAACGTGATAAACGTGAGAATCAACTATCGTCATCGGTGCGCAAGGTAAAGAACAAGTCCGGCATTATCGAGTCACGCATTTTCACCTGCAACGAGTGTCTGGAGGAGTTTTGCAACGGTAAAGTCTGTCTGGATTTCAACTACGACCTCTACACCCGGGTGGTACCGAAACCGCCCATCCAGAAGACCAACTCCCAGCAGCAGATTGCACCGACCAAGATGCTGGCCGATCTGAACCAGAAAAGTATTGACAGTGGCAGCGGCAGCTCCAAGAAGGGGCGCAAGCCCGTACGGAGGAAATCCAAATCCAAATCCAAATCAACCGAAGAGGACGATGGCAATCAAAGTGGTGGTGGCGGGGTTACCGGAGGTAAGAAGAAAAGCAAGAAGTCATCTAGGAGTAAGAGCAAAGAATAGATTGTTGAAAATGAACCACGAGTATCACGAAAAGTATCCAGTAATATCAAGTTACCTCTTCCAGTTGCAAATAAATCAATTTCTCTCTTATTAGTCAACTTAAAGCAAACGTTTTTGTTACTTACCCATGACCACTCCCCTCGGAACTGCGAGATGTCCGGCACCACGCAAAGTAACGATTCCGCACACCGGTACATTGTTTCCGCTTCCACGTCACCGAACCACGCCTGCAGCGACGGCGTAAAATTGTCACCCGTAATCTCGAGCATCGCCACATCGGCACCACCGTTCAGGTGTAACGAATTGACTATTGGCACTGGGGTGACCGGTGTCCGCACCGGTCCCATCCCTTCGTAGAACTGGTACTCAGCCTTATCGGTGGAGATGATCGTCCAGCAGGCACCGTCGTTGATCATCTCCTTGTTGGGTTCCTTCGGACAGGGCGTCGCCTGGAACTGAATGATTTTCTCCTGCGACAGGCACAGGTACATTCGTTCGGTATCTTTCATATGGAATGCACATTTGTGTAGCTGTGATACTGGATCGTCCGCCTCGATTAGTGCCATCTGTTTGTCCACCTTTCGGATCACTAACCGTGGCAAAGCCATACCCGTCACGGAACAGACTAGCTTGACCGTTGCTCCATAGTGCACATACCCGTCGCGAACCTGTGGAAGGAGTGGTAAGAAGCGATCAGTAGTAAAGATTTTTATAATCGGTGTGTTCTAAAGGATAAAACGAGAATACACAGCACAAACTTGCTAAAATTGACATGTGGAACATTGATGTATTTCCTGGCCTTAGTTGAAACATACAGCAATAAATAGTAAATTTTACATTATAGTTTTTAATATTCAATATATTTCCATTGAATTTTATATGCAACTGCGTTTCTACATGGCAGCGAAAAGTTTAATTGAAATTGAATAATTTTCGACGAACAACAATATGCATTTACATGAACGTGTAAATTTCATTGAATTTCATATCATTAAATGTGTTATTTTTTGTTTACAAACTCAGCAAGCAACATTTGATTTATTAAACAATAAATGTAGGTTGCATTTAGAACACTTTTATAAGCTTCCCATTATCTGTAACTCCTGTTTCCAACACACAACGAAAATGTCATGTAAATTTCAGTTGCCTGAGACCGACACATGTAAGCGGCCTTTTTAACATAAGAATCAGTTGAAAGAAACGAGAAAATCAATTCAATCAAACGTTCTCTTCATCGACTTGCGTATGTTTCGGTTTGAGAACACCTAATTTTACATGAAATGATGGTCTACGTTCCACGATTTACGTTCAATAGGATTACGTCTCGTGTAAAAGTAGTTATTTCTAAGCGTGCATCCATTGACAGCAATCGAATATGCAGGAAGGCAGCTTCCACACCTGCGTGGGATATCGCACGCATTCAACACACATGACGGGACCAACAGCTTTACTTCCGAAGGAAGACGTGACCAGAGATTGTTATGCCTCAGAAAAATCCCCCCGACCTCGGCTGGGATTGAACCCAGACTTATTGGGGTGAGAAAGCAGTCGCGCTTATCACTACACCATCGGCGCCGGCCGTTACATTATGTGAAAGATAAGAAAACAGCCACAAAGTGAATGAACCAACCAGATGAAACGCTGGTTACCGTTACCGTTGCTTAAATTTCATATTTTTAATTCGCCTAAAGGTAGCCTATGGAAAAGACGAAACTCTCAACTTTATTATATTACAATTCACCTAAAGGTATACTCTTTCATCGCTGAACTATTCTGTAGCGTAAATCTTGACCAAAAATAAATAGAAAGGATGATAGGGTTTTTGATCTAATTTCCGTCCTACTAAGCACAACGCGCACTTTACCTCTCATTTCTGAACGAGTTTTAATTAAAAATGGAATATTTCTGTCAAAGATGACTTTTAAATTTATTCACCTTTCCATACGTACCGTTATATTTGATAAAGAGTCACAAATTGTTGAGATATTGTTTAAAATCTAATACTGCTTCTTGATTTTAAATTCGTTCTACGAGTTTCAATTCCGTCCAAACGCATTGAAACGCCATTAGATTTTTTTCGTCCTACGGATAAACTTAGAAAAAGGGGATTTGCTAGGAGCGCTTCTTTTGTTTTGAGAACAATGAGCGTAAATATTCATACAATGCACTTTAACAGGATTTATGTTGTAGCTAATGAACTAACGCATCGGAACAAACCTATTTTTGATTTGTAAACGGTTAAGTCATTGATATTATTGATCTTTTCTGATCGATAGAACGGAAATGGGCGATTACGACGAAGTAGCGCTCTACCCTAGTTTTCTTATTTACGTTTGCCCGCTTACAGGGAACTAATGGGCAGCGTTGCCAGTAGATTTCGTTTCCATTCAGCCCAATGCAAAAAATCAACAAACGCTTCTCTTACTGTCAAGATGCTCTCCTAAGGCTCTGAACCACTCGGCGATTTTTTTTAAAGTTTTGGTTAAAATTTGACAGATGGAAAATTATCGATTAACCCTGCTATCCGAGCATGGTTATTTCTGACAGACGAGAAGTTAAATTTTGACAACCGTGGCTCGAAAACCGGTCGATCGACAGTACGGGGATTTTCGAACATAGAAAATAACTTTTTTGACATTTGAGTTTCGAATCCGTTCTCCACCCTAGTCTTTTTGCGCAAGCGTTCTCTGATACACAACAATCGTCTATTATCGACGATATGTGCTTGTACCGCAACCACTCAATATCTGTCGATGTGAACAAACACAGCTCATTTTTGTTGTACATCTTACATGCTGAAATATGTCCAGTACAGTATGAATATAACATTTTGAGCTGCCGGCCTCACCTCCGACCACCGGGCCGTAGTGATGAATATCAATTACTTTTACTTTGATTTACGGTTTAGCGACTTTGCAGTCAATTTAATTGTTTATAAGAAAGTTTGAACATACTGAGAGTTAAGCACATCGCACATCGGTAAGAGACGTGTGTGTGTGTGTGAGAAAATTTGCGAAAAAATCTAAGGGCACCGGTGGGATTCGAACCCACAATTCCCATTCAGTACACGGGTGCATTGCCAATTATACAACGGTGGACCTATGGTCTACGGATGTATTTGGGTTTCGAATCCGTTCCCCACCCTAGTCTTTTTCCGCAAGCGTTCTCTGATACACAACAATTTTTTTTCGCAAATTTGCTCACACACACGTCTCTTACCGATGATATGTGCTTACCTCTCAGTATGTTCAAACTTTCTTATATTTAAGTATATTTAAAAATGTCAATTTTCATGTTTGTAGGAAATCTACATTCAGGGGTAAACCGAATGCTTAGCTGGATGTAGGTAGGTATCCAAGGGTATTTTGATATACAGCCATTCCATAGCAAAACGATATAGGGGTTCTTAGAATTTCGTAAATATTGTTAGTTTTGTTCCTTATCACAAAATATTACACCCGTATTTTTTTATTTATTTTTTCAATGTGGTTCAAAAAATGATTTTTTTTTCAAAAATGACTAAAAAAAAATATAGCTTTTGAACCACTGGGCCGATTTAAAAGTTCAAAATATCAAAAGAAAAGGTAATTAAATATAACTCAAAAACAAACAAAAAACAAATACGTGATTTTTTTATATGTTGGATAAAAAAGCGAAGACAACATATCAAGAAGACTGCCAACTCTTCCATTTTCTGTAGAGATGAACTAGCCAACGGCTAAAAATCTCTCTAATAAAGTTAAAAAAAAAAAATCTTCCATTTTCTCATACGAACGCTATGAGACAGGTACACTGAAGTCTTTTTTTACACGGTTTTTTTTTACGCGGTTTTTTTTTACACGGTTTTCCACGATTTACACGGTACGTTTTTAACGATTTCTCGACAACGATACAACCTATCGACTTGATTCCAATCACATTATCCGTTTCAAGCTATTTGTAATCGAATGGCATACTTAAAAAAAAATCACATTTTTTGGTGTAAATACAGAAATTTTTTAAATATGTCTATATGGACCATATCATGCTTTAATTACAAATGGCATCAAAATCCGATTTTTTAAAAACATTTAAGCATGCGAAAAATCAAAATCTCGTAGGTTTTTTTTTACACGGTTTTTTTTTACACGGACCGTATCCCCCGTGTAAAAAAAGACCTGAGTGTACAATCGCGTCATCTGCCGCTCAAAGGTAAATGCTTCGAACGAATTTGATAGCAAAGATTACATCCTCAGAAGAAAGGTTTGTGTATTTGCTCATTTTTCTATGCGTTGCTTCCACCTTCACTCAAGCGCAGCGCTACTGTATCTGTCGCTTGGATTCTGGCAAAGTTGCCAGTCTTTTTGATTTGAAGTCTTTGAAAAAAGCCTAAATTTTCAAGGAAATATAAAAGCCTATTGCACCCCCTGTCTACAAACCTTAAAAAGCAAATACGATCAATACTTTTCGATACAAAATAAAATAAAAAGATAATATCATAATATTTTTCATCAATTGCCTTTCATTTGATATTTTGATCTTTAAAATCGGCCCAGTGGTTCAAAAGTTATGAAATTTTTAAAAGTCGGCTCTTTTGCCAGTGGTGGCGGGGGAGATACCCCTCACCATCCCTCCCCAACAACGGAGTTTCGTAAAGGAGATGATCAACCTGATTGGTGCCTTCCTCAAAATTGACCTTTGCTCGGCTTCTACTCTCTATATACAATTTTCACACTTCACACGGGTCGCACGTTGGGCAGCGCTGCCATAGAGGATACGTTCGGTAAACGTTGCTGGAAGATTTAAAATAGCGATGGGTATAGAATAAGGCATAGTGAAAAATTTCAAGGAAGGGAACGGACCGGGGATTGAACTCCCGACCTTCTGCTCAGTAAGCAGAAATGGTAACCACTTTAAGTCTGATGTATGACGTTAAGCATCTCAAACTATGTAAATCGTTGGAATATTACAAACATGATTAGTTAAAGTAACAATCCTTTCAATTCTTCTTTGCATTTCAAGCTTATTGCTTCTCGCATATTAGTTTATTGCGTGCTCTTAGTGTGGTAGATGCACTCCCACAGTTATTAATTATTAGCTTTCGATGCCTGTACCATTTTTGCATAAGTATAATTGTGTGACAAGTACAATTATACTCTATGCCCAGGAAGTCGAGAAATTGTCCAACCCGAAAAAATTCTAGGAAGGACCACGAATTGAACCCAGTCACCTCCAGCATGGTCTTGCTTTGTAGCTGCACCTTTACCGACTGAGCTAAGGGATGCCCGGAGATACTGCTACTTCCATCTAAAAAATGGCCGAGATCAATCCCAAAATCTTGGCCAATGGACGGAGGTGGCAATACTCTAGAAAAAATGGCCTAGGACTTGTACCACCTAAGAATTTGTGCAGCTTGCTCAATGCAATTTTGATTACCGAGCCTTTTTAACTGTAGGTTTCAAACATTGTTAACCCCCAAATCTTCAAAATAATACAAGTCCCAGAATCTTGAAAAGTTTACCAAGTTAATGATCTTAAAATTAGAACATTGTTTAAGATTACATTTTTCTCTTAAATAAAGAAATATGGATTGGATCTGATTTTCGGCCTACTAGGCAAACAACCCGCACTTTACCTCTCTCTTTCAAGCGGATGTTTAGACAAAATGGAATATTTCTTCTACAGATGA